CATTGGAGACTAAAAAAACAATACAAAGAATCAGTCAAAGAGTTGGTTCTTTGAAAGATTAAATAAAATTGACAAACCCTTAGCCAACCTTATCAAAAAAAGGAAAGAAAAGACTCAAATCCACACAATTAGGAATGAGAAAGGTGAAATCACTACAGGCCCTGCAGAAATCCAGATTATCTATGCTTACTTTGAAAACTTGTATTTTAAGAAGATGGAAAATGCAGAAGAAATGGACAGATTCCTAGATACATATGAATTACCAAAGCTGAATCAAGAAGATATAAAAATCCTAAATAAACCAGTATCAATCAATGAAATCAAAGATGTAATTAAAAACCTACCAACATAGAAAAGCCCAGGCCCTGACAGATTCACTGCTGAATCTACAAGAAATTTAGAGAAGACCTAACACCACTACTTCTCAAACTCTTTAATGAAACTGAAAAGGAAGCAATTGTGGGACTCAGTGGTCTCTCAGTGGTCCCCGGGAGAAAACCGTGAAAGGATTTAGAAAATAAAGACAAGAGACAATAGCCGGATTCAGGTACAGTTACCTCCTATCTGATGGGCAAGAGGACTGACTTCAACAATAAGGGCATTTATTTTATACACTTGCAGAGTTAGTATCAGAAGAGGTAATGTTGCCTAGCGACTAATGACTGTAATTGTCCAGGCAGGATGTCTTTCTAAAGACTGAGGTAGCTTGACTGCTTGAGGCACTCTGGCTCTGTCCTGCCCTCACACATATGACCAATATCTAGCTCCATCAGCTCCCAACAAGCAATACTCCCAAAAGCAATACTTCCTGGAAGCAAGCATTACCCTAATTCCAAAACCAGAAAAGGACCCAACTAAGAAAGAGAACTACAGGCCAATCTCCCTAGTAAACATAGATGCAAAAATCCTCAATAAGATAATGGCAAACAGAATGTAGCAAATCATCAAAGAGATTATATATCATGACCAAGTTGGATTCATCCCAAGGATGGTTCAACATACAAAAACCATATAATCATCTCAATAGATGAAGAAAAAGTTTATGACAAAGTCCAGCACCCATTCATGACAAAAAGCCTACAGAAAATTGGAATAGATGGTCTTTATCTCAGTCTGATAAAAGCCATCTATGACAAACCAACAGCCAACATCATACTAAATGGACAAAAGCTGAAAGCTTTCTCTCTAAAATCAGGAAAAGATAAGGATGTCCACTGTCACCACTCTTATTCAACATAGTTCTGGAAACTTGAACCAGAGCAATTAGACAAGAGAAAGAAATAAAAGGAATAATGATAGGAAAGGAAGAAGTTAAATTAAGTTATCATTATTCTTGGGTGACATGATACTCTACATAGAAGACCCCAAAAACTCCACCAAAAGACTTCTAGATTTAATAAGCAAATTCAGTAGCATAACTAGATACAAAGTCAACACTCAAAAATCAATAGCCTTCCTGTACAAAATAGCAAACTCACAGAGAGAAAAATTAGGGAAACAACACCCTTCACAATAGCATCCCCCAAAAGTGAAATACCTAGGAATCAATCTAACTAAGGAAGTAAAAGACCTCTACACTGAAAACTGCAGTACTTTGAAAAAAGAGATTGAAGTGGATATCAAAAAATGGAAAGATATCCCTTGCTCTTGGATAAGAACCTATATAGTAAAAATGGGCATACTTTCAAAACTGTTATACAGATTTAATGCAATTCTGATCAAAAGTCTAACAGTATATCTCACAGAATTAAAGAAAACAATTATAAAATTCACTTGGAACCGGAAGAGACCTAGAATAGCAAAAGCAATTCTGGGCAACAAAGGCAAGCCAGGGGGCATCACAATCTCTTACTTGAAATTATACTACAAAGCTATTGAGATAATTGCCAGCATGGTACTGGCAAAAAAAAAAAACCAGGCGTGAGGATCAATGGAACAGATTAGAAGATGCAGAAACAACCCTAGACATACTTAGCCACCCTATCTTTGACAAAGGTGCCAAACACATTCATTGGAAGAAAGATAGCCTCTTTAATAAATGGTGGTGGAAAAACTAGCTTTGCACATGCCAAAGATTAAAATTAGACCTATATCTTTTGCCATACACTAAAGTCAAACTGGATCAAAGAATTATATATCACAAAGAATCAACAACTAGGATCTCATCTTACTGAAAAGCTTTTACATAGCAATAGAAACCATCAACAGAGTGAAGAAACAACCCATACACCGGGAAAAAAAAAAAATTTGCCAGCTAGTCCTCAAAGAATTACTATCAAGAAGATATAAAGAACCCAAAAAAATCAGATCCCCAAACTTAAAAACCCAGTCCAAAATGGGCATCTGAGATGCATATATACTTCTCAGATGAAAAAGTACAAATAGCGAATAAATATATGAAAAAATGTTCAACATCACCGGTCATTTGAGAGATGTAAATTAAAACAATGCTGAGATTCCATGTCACTCCAGAAAGAATGGCTATTATCAAGAAATCAACCAATAACAAATGTTGGAGTGACTATGGGGGAAAAGGAATTCCTTTCCACAGTTGCTGGGTATGTAGACTGGTGCAACCACTATGGAAATCAGTGCAGAGATTCCCCAAAAAACTAGGACTAGAGGTTCCATTTGACTCAGCTATTCCCCTCCTTGGTATCGTCCTGAAAAAATTAAAAACATCATACCACAGCGATATATGCACACCCACATTTATAGTGGCACGTTTGTAATAGCCAAATCTTGGAAACAGCCCAGGTGCCCATCTACTGGTAAATGGATAAAGAAGATGCAGGGTTTTTCTATACCATAGAGTACTACTCTGCCATACAGAAGGATATGCTTGAGACACTTCTAGGAAAATGGATGCACCTTGAGACCATGCTCTTAAGTGAAATAAATCAAACACACACGTGTAAACACTGCATTGTTTCTCCGGTATGAGAAACCGAAAGTATAAAAGGACCAAAATGTATAACAGGTATTGTGAAATAGGAAGAAAATGTTCAAATGGGGAGAGGAACAAGCAGGGAGAGGGATAGGAAAGAAAAGTAAAAATATGAGAGAAGAAGGAAAGACTGGAAACAAAGCTTTTGTACATAGGAAGGGGAGGAGGGGTTGAAGGGAGGGTAGAGGAATGGGAAAAAAAGAATCAAGTTATATCACGCATAGGTACAAATTCTCTACAATGAATGTGATCATTATGTATATCTAAACTGCACCAATAAAATCTGATTGAAAGAAAAGAGAAAGTGACACAGTTCCTTCTCTCAGGAGAACAGAACATTCCCCAGCTCCTTTTGTTTTTTTTTTGTTTGTTTGTTTTTTCTCCGGTACCGGAACCGAACTCACGACCTTGCGCTTGCCAGGCAGGCGCTTTTGCCGCTGAGCTAAATCCCCAGCCCCCCCCCACCAGCTCCTTTTGTGACCCCACCACCACCACATCACCAAGCTTGCAAGCCTCTCACCCTTGTCCGTTCATCTGGCCTGGACCCTAGGAGGCTGGGAGAAGGGCCCAGATCCCGGCCGCAAAGGACTCACCTAGGTAGGCTGCTTAGAGGAGATGGCCTGTGGGTAAACCTCCCCTACTCTCTGCTTCCTCCTCTGCCCAGCAGCATTCCTCAACAGGCCACCCCTCAGAGCACATAAGGAGAGAAGGGGGCACCATGAAGAAGGGCTTTCTGAGGACACTACTTGTGTCAGGTCGGGGGCTGAAAGGAGGGGCCCTTTTTCCACCCAGCTGCGGCATGGGCGTGCAGGCTCATCAATATGGGTTACAGAGTCACGGGTTAGCCTCTCACTGAGAGGCCAGGGGAAGCTTCCAAAAACAATGAGAATCGCATCCTGCAGAAAGGCCAGAACCTCCGGTGAGACTCAGTCCTCCGCCAGTTACCTGCAGGCTCAGGCACTAAACTCCACAAGGCACCATCACTCATCTACAAATTAGGGTGAGAAGTAACATAAACGTCAACATATTATGGATTCAACGTTCCAATTTTAGCCTAACTTGAACTGTGAGATGACCATGTGAATACTTTGATTAATGAATGAATATAGAGTTACTAGATTGAATTACAGTAGTTACTACATAGTATGAAATAAGACACGCACAAATGGATTAGAGAAAACGAGTACAACCGAAGGCCGAGATTTAGCGTTTAGGAAAACCCAGGTCTGGTTTGGGGAAACACCTAGATCCGAGAACTTAAACTTGCCCTAGAGGAAGTGGGGAGTCCCCAGCTCTGTCCCCAGAGCATCCGTAGAGAAAGAGCCTCGGCCACCTAGGCCCTCGTAGCTGTGCTCCTGTCCCGTAGACCAGCCCCAAAGACCTCTCCAACCAGGAACCTCGGGTTCACAGCCCCCAGAATGGTGCGCTGCGACCCAGGCTGGAAAGCCCCACGGTCACTTCGGAGGTCGGACGGTCAGGGGAGGCCTGGGGCGGTCGTCTGGAGCTCTAGGCCCAGGCCCAGGCCCCTCTTAAGGGGCTGCCCGGCCCTCTCGGGGTTGGGGGGAGGGGCGGGAATCCAGGTTGCTGAGCAACCGCTTCACAGAGCCCTGAGAGTCCGGCTGAATTGAAGGTTTCCGGAGAGAAGCCAGAAAAGTATTGCGGTGTGCGGACTAGGGGCAGGGAGACTTGACGGTTGAGCTGGCGATGGGGTGGGGATTTGGGGTTTGGGAGGAGGGACGCGTGGTCCACCGAGAAAAGGACCTGGCCGGAGATCAGGTGGGGGCGCTGTGGGCTGGTGCCAGAGAGGACGTCGGGCTGGGTTCCCTTTTCCCGCTCCCCTACGCCCTCCCTGGACTCTGCTCCCCAAATCTAGACCTAGCAGGGGGCCGGCCAAGAGATGGGGATGCCCCTGCAGGGAGCCAGCCATCACTGGACCCCGAGCCTGCCAGCACACGTGTGCACCCACCCACACAAACGCGAACCCCACACACACGCACACCCACACGGATAGGCGCAGACACACAGGCAGGACCACGCCCTCCGGCCCTACCCTGAACACTAAGGCTGCAGTCCTGGGGCCAGTACGAGCAGGACAGACCCGGGTGTGAGGGCGACCACCCTGTGACCACCAATGTGGGCCCTGAAGCCTGGCCTCACGCAGTTCCTCGCGGCCCCCAGCCCCTGGTGGGGCCTAAGGTCGCCCTCGGGGAGCCGAGTTTTCCCAGCTCAAGGGACAGCCACTGGGGCGGGACGGGCAATTTCTACAGTCCTGAGCACGTCTGGAAATCCCAGCAACTGCAGGACGTAGGTGTTAGGCGCACGTGCGAGGGCGCCCATGGGGACAGGCGGAGGTGCGCGTGCGCGGCGAGGGGCGTGCCCGGCGAGGGTCGGCGCCGCAGGACGTGTCGGTCCCTCCGCAGGCGGGAAGATGCCGCGGCGCGCAGCGAAGGGCACGCCAGGAGCGGGACCCGGCAAGCCGCGCGCAGAGGGGGCGGCTGCGACGGAGGCCCCCAGGCCTGGCTGGGCGCTGACGCTGGAGGCGCTCGCGGCCATGCCCCTCAAGCAACGCCGCCACCACCTGCTCTTCAGCGACCTGCTCGAGGACAGGGACGCGGCCGCCACCATCTTCCCGCGCGAGTCGGCGGAGCTGGGGTACAGCATGCCCGACCCGCGCGCCTGGACGCAGCCTCGGGACCGGCCCGTGGGGCGCGCGAACCTGCTCCTGGGCGTGCTCAAGGCGGCGGAGGCCCGCGGACGCGTGCGCGCCCTGAGGCTACGCTACATCCGCATGCGGGTAGGCGCCCGGGAGCGCCGGCGCACACCGCGTGGGGCTAACGCAGCGCTTTCCCGAGGGCGGGTGGCGGGCGCAGGGGTCTCGGCGCAGCGTAGCTCACCCGCCCGGGCCCGCAGGCGGAGGAGATCACGCTCCTGATCCGGCAGCAGGGCTCTGCGCGCGCTGCCATCCGGCTCGAGCTGTTCCTGCCGCCACAGCTAAAGCCGACGCGGATCCGGGATCCTCTGGACCGGCAAGAGGTGCGGGCAAGCCCGGGGAGGGGCAGGAGATCCGCGTCTCCACACACACTTAGCCCCAGCCCTGTCCCTGCAGAGGCGGCACGTGGAGACCATCCTGGAGGAAGCCGTGGATGGCAGCATTTTCCCGCGGTGACAGCGAACTAGAGTGTGCGGCCTCGCCCCACCCTCGTACATAAAGTTCTTCTCTAAGGGCTCTCTGGTATTTTCCCTCGCAGTCCCCAGGCCCCCGCAGAGAAGGGGGAGTATGGACACTGACTGTCCTACACCAGCGATCACAGACACCAGGGACAGCAGTGGGGCTCCCCTACAAAGTAAGGAGATGTGAGAGGGTGGGTGTCAAAGTAGTATGGTGAGGACAGCCCATCCCCCAATCCCAGCCTCCCCTATCCGATATCTGGTGTCCTGGGGGACCACCAGAGACCCCCAGTGCAGAAGAAGTCAGGAGAACCTGCCTCACACCAGTGCCCCCCAGAAGCCCAGAAAGGCACTCATCCCCTGCACATGGTGGCACTCTGGGAGAGAGAGACTGACTACACAAGCCAAAGCTAGCCTTTGGAGGGTTACCACCTGTGCCCAGAGGTGGAGACCTAGAGCCAGTGGAAGGGGTGCCCCAGGGAGAGGACAAAAGACCCATCCTCTGGTCTTCTTTTCATCCTGAATGATAATCTCCTGTGCCCCACTGACAAACAAGCCTGAACCCTTCAAGACCGCTAGACTCTAGAAAGCCCCTGGTTTCTGGGCAGCTCTTTTTTCTCCAGGGTGGGCTCTTTGCAGAACCTGGGGCTCCTCTAGGCCCTTCCTCCCAGCCCCTGTCAAGAAGGCTACACAGCTGAGAGCTACAGGGAAACACACAGCCCCAGTCCCTGCCAAGAGATTTCCATTGGCTCTGCAGGGAGCAGAGGACAGATCTGGAGGAAAAGGCTGAAGTCAGACCTGGAGTCCACCAAGCAACACATTCACTGGTGGCCATCCCCCAATCCTTTAGAACCTCTGCCCCCTCAGCCAGCCCTGCTCCCCCGGTACCTGACCCTTTGCCCACTGCAGGCTATTAGTGCCCTGGCCTTGATCCAAGCCAGACTGTGCAGAGATCACAAGTCAGCAGCAGCTCACGGGGGAGCACAGTCTCAGAGAGAGGGAGGTAGGATGAGGGGCCAGAAAGATGGTGGGCTTGGCAGGAGCAGACAAGGAAGGGGAGCAATCTCTTTGTTCACCAGTAGCAGCCCCTCACACCCTGATGTGGGCCTCCTGGGCTTCTCCTGCCAAGCTCCCTACCATCTGGAGCCCAGCATTTTGTCTCTTGGGTATTTACAGAGTGCCTAGAAGAATTTATCTGCTTAGTAAAGTGACATATTTATTTCATCACTTCTCTGGCCCTGTATTTCTTCATCCTTAAAATGGGGGCCACAGAGCTGTTCAAGGGTGTCAGGACAGTACCCTATGCAGTCAGTACTCCAAAGGAGTACATGAGGACAGAGGCTGAAAACAAAGCCCAGCACTCTTAAAGGCCAAAAAGACAATGGCCTGAGACAATTCTGCACCAGGACTGGCACAGGATACCCTTTGATCCCCATGCCAAGGAGGGGCTGGCTTTGCAGAAGAGGCTAGACAAGGTGGCATAGGATGCTTCTGCCCGCAGAAAGGCCTACAGAAAAGCAAAGCCTGTGAGCTAAGGCCTAACAAATGGAGCATAACACGGACGGGGGCTTGTGTTCTGGAGCTACCTGATGCTCCTGGTTCAAGTCCTATCCCCCATCACCACCCACCCAGCCTTCCTGGGCTCCTCCTTGAATTTGGGGATTGCTGTGTTGCAAGGGGCCGGCAGCAGGCCTGAGGTGCCAGAGGACAGTGAAAATGGGCTCCGGAGGGGAGGAAAGTGTGCTGAGCCTCACCCACTGCCAGCTGCACACAGCTGCATTTCCCACCGTGCGTGCAGAGCAGTGTCAGTCTGGCGGTGTGGCCTTGCAGGACGCTGGCCCATCTCTGCCAGGCTTCCTTGTCCTCACCAGCACCTACCTTTCAAGACTGTTACCTGGACAAGAGCAGCTGCCTCCTGTGCGGACCGGCTTCCTGGCCTCTCCCACACTCTGTCCTATTAGCGTAGCAGCCGGAGGGTTCTGTGAACCCTGGGCACACAGCATCTCAGGCAGCCTGGCAGTCCTCAGGCGCTTGCCCAACTGCTCTTCACTCAGCCAAGCCCCATGAGCACCGTGGAAATGCCTTGCTCTCAGCTCTCGCCTGGTCCATTTCTTGTCGGATCCCTCACCCAATCCAGCCCCTAGCAGTCAGCTCCAGGCTGGTCTGTCTGGCTCACTACCTGACACGCAGGGACCCCAGATAGTTGCCAAATGAATGACGAGCTTATGTGAAGTCTCCACTTTGCTCAGAAAGGCAAGGACCACCAATCACTCCTTCCCAGGGACCTCTTTTGGCCCAACAGAACAAGTAGCGCCTGGGGTCGGCTCTCGAGTGACGGAAAGCCTAGAAGGGCCCGCTGAGCAGAATGGGGCTAAACTTGTGCCGCCCGCCGAGTGCCTTATCCTGCGGGCCACCCGGGCTAAGGCTCCCGGCGGGGCAGCGCGGGGC